TTATATTACTTATCCGATTTTAAATAATTAACTCAATTATCAAAGAACAAACCACTTCAAGCGATTATTTTAATATTTTGATGAACTTATGATTGAATAGTTACAAGTTAACTTTGATATATTATAATAAATGAAGTGTCACTTTTGACATATATGAGTGAACGATCTATTGGCTCTTCGACTGACAGTTTAACGACGATTTATCATATTTTGATTTCATGCCACACTTCCAAAGTGAATTAATTATTTGTTAGCAAGAGTGACCCGTAATAAATAAATAATTTTGAATAAACATTACGAAACTATTTTGGCGTGCGTGTCGAGACTACGTACGATATTGTGAAACTTTGATGATTTATATAACTGAAACTGAGTTATTACTTTGAATACTACTGAGATACTATCTTGAATTAATTAAAATTTATGATTTCGAGAATTATATTTAATAATTTTGAATACGAATTACTACTATCGTGATGCCTGAGCTATTACATCGAGATAATTGAATTTTAAGACTTTGAGAATATACCTTTGACGTTTTTGAATTATGCTATTGTGATGCCTGAAATATTATCTTGAACTAAGTGAACTTCAAGACTTTGAGAATATACCTTTGACGTTTTTGAATTATGCTATTGTGATGCCTGAAATATTATCTTGAACTAAGTGAACTTCAAGATTTTGAGAATTATCTTTGATATTTTTGAACATGAGTTATTATTATTGAATAGAGAATTATTATAACTCTTGTGTCGCCGTCTATTCAATATTCACGAATCGTAGAATATTATATTAATATTATTTTATCATGCCTCACTTATGACCCTTTATGAATTCGATTATTTTATTTTCTAAACTGAGTTCGGAATAAGGTTTACCCTTGACATTTTGTGCTGAGCCGTTGCAGTAGATACATTGTACTAGTTTAATAAAATATTATTAAATAATTATAAATCCTGAGCCATCCTAGCCCTGAGTATTGCATTGAGAGACATTAATAGATTAATATTCTATTAATAGAAATAGAACACGAGCTGAAACAGCTGAATTATCAACATGGAAGGACAAGGTAGTTCTTCAATACCTGTAAGTGCTGAATGAGTGCTATAATTTCCCCTTCGCGTAAGCTTTTAATTAAACTCAAATTATTTGATCGTGTTTTAATCGCGATATTACTATTCGACAGATTGTGGCTGCTTAATTGAAAGTTACCGGTATTCTTTCAGAAGTAAATAGATTTTTGTTTGAATTCTCGTTGATATAACTAAGAGGTAGATTAAATTCCTCTTAAATTTCTTGTGATTAAGAAGCAGATTAGACTTTTATTTAAATTCTCGTTGATGCCTTTCCTCTCCTTGCGGTTGGGCTTAGCGAGCGAGCGTACCAGCGCTTTAAGAGCCAAACTGCCCCTTTCCTTTAAAGTTCGGCTTAGCGAGCGAGCGTATCAGCGAAGAGCAACCTCTTTGCATTTTTCGACACAAATGTAGAGCGAGCGTATCAGCGCTTTAAGAGCCAACTTCCTCTTTTTGCATTATCCTTCAGAACATCCAAAATTTGATATTGCAAATGAGAGTATTTTAGATCATAACGACATAAATAACGCGTCAACCAAGTTCGAGAATCTGCAAATTCAAGATAAAGAAGAATCTTTTAATCGAAGATAATAAGCCACTATTTGTCGTTTCTTTTATTAAATATTGATTTAAATAATTTAACTGAAGCTTCCTCCAGCACTCAGAATTAATAAAATAATGCATTCATAATTTTGAAACACGTAATTATAATTTCTTCAGGATACCCCTGTTTCTCCAGATCCTTCAGATTCTTCAGAGTCCTCGGAAACATCAGATTCTCCAGAGTCTCCGGAATCACCGGATTCTCCAGAAGTTCCAGATTGTATAGGATGTATCGAAACCACCAGAACCAGAATAGGGTTCATCAAGAGTAATAAAGGACGGGCATTGGTACTTGAACCAATTCACCCTCCGCATGAGAGTATTTGCATATGTTTGAGTAAAGATTTCTTTCACACATCTGGTTATGACAAGATTATAATTACAAAGCCTCGTTCAAACGTCCAGATGAGAAATAAATAAATGAATAATTAACGCTCTCGAATAGATTTATGTAAATAAATATATTACAAAACCACACACCCGTTTTCTACCTCTCCTCCATCGCAGCAGTTCAGGTTCTCTCCATCCCAGGTAAAGCCGGTGTAAGCAGGTTGACCTAAAACAAAAGAGAACCAGGTAACTTGTCGCCCGGCCGAGACGTGACAATGTCCTTCGAAGGACACCTTATGGATGTCCATAAGATATCCGTGTGCTGTCTGGGTACATACATATGTGCAGACAATTTATAAGCAAATACATCAGAAATTTTCTTTAGTGATCACTCCTACGAATAATTGTTACTAATAAAACATTTTATTTGATTCACACGTTAAATTTATTGATTTATTGTATCGAATTCATATTATTACTTGTCTGTTGTATTACTTGTAAGGCACTTTTCTCAATTCGATCCTGGATTTAACATGGTAGATGCTCACGTGATCCGGAAAAGGAGATCAAAGGCGCCGACACGAAGTGGACCTACTGGTTGTACGGTGCGTAAACGTAGACGTAAGAAATTGGGAAGATATGATTGGATATGGAAAAATAGGAATGGCCAGTAACTTCTCTCGTGATTGGCTGGACGTTGAAAAATATCAAAATTTTTATATTCTACGTCCTACCACAGTATAACCAGTAGGTCCACTTTGTGTCGGCATCTTTGATCTCCTTTTCCGGATCACGTGAGCATCCACCATGTTAAATCCAGGACCGACATTGAG